TTCTCATGATCTTTTATCAGGGATTTTTGACAACCATAGAGATCTTATTAATGTGTGTGTGATATACCATATAGAAAACAAAGCTTAAAAACATTGTCTTTGAGTATGTACTTTACATAGGCCTACTTAAAAAACGTGATTTCACAACCACCTCAGCCCAACCATGGCTGGGGCTGAGGTGTGAAAATTTGAGGAAATAGTACCTCTCGAGATGGCCGGAAATGACACTTTTATATAGTAAAATTCATCCTCATCACATCACCATTATATCAAAATGAAACGCCAAAAAATTTCTCATGATCTTTTATCAAGGATCTACAATATCCAGGACAACTTAAGCCTAACTATAGCTTACTAAGCTTTAACTATATATACTATAATAATTATGATCAACACACTTTTTTCGCATTTAGCACAATTTAGCGCGGCTCCCACGGCTCCCCCTGGATACGTCCCTGTCCCTGAATAAATTTCTCATGATTCATGGCTTCGTATGACCCACAATGTTACTTTCAGACCACATATTAGGGATTTCCTAGGCCTGTCCGACGGGGAGAGAGGAAATTTCCCTTTCCCAAATACCTTGTATGAAGTTTGGCAGTGTTAGCAACTTTTTAGTTCAATGCCTAAATTCAAATGTTCAGCCAAATTTTTTTTCTCTTCCACCTTTCGAAAGTTTGAAAATATGAATAATACTGCATAATTTTGGATACTACACATAATGTAAATTATAAACAAACCTTCAGATACCTCAGTTTTTAAAAATTAATCATTTGTGGTTTATTATGTATAATCGTTCTATAAAAACGCCTTTCTTTTACGAAAACAAAGGGCAAGTATTGGACTAAATGTTAGGGATTTTTAGTAAATGTCAGGGTATTGGTAGATATCAATGCATGAATGATAGATAATAATATTTTTTAGCAATTGTTTTCAACGTACTGAGTATTCGAAACATCTCTTAAATAACTATACATTAATAATTAAAATGTTATATACAAATTTAGCATATAAATTATAATTGCACATGAGTCTACAACTGCACTACCGTAGGTAATTAAATTTACCGTACATGTTCATTCGGTGTTTAGAACTTTATAAGATATTACCTGTTTTCACGCACATAAGGTCAGTGATCGTGTGAAGATGCAGATGTAATAATAATACGCCACCTCGTAGGTTTTAACTTCACGTATGTTGAAGCTCGTAAAAAGTAAAATATAATATGGGTATCAGTACATATATGAATTATGTACTGATACCCATATTAGTACATATATGAATTATGGATAGGCCTATGCGTTTATGTGTTTCTATTTATTATTATTATTATTATTAATTTAATTATTTGTAAGAAATGATTGCAACGTTTGCCTACTACCATAATGTAAAGTTAAAATGTGAAGTACTAAAACTTTACGAAAAAGCAAACGATAATATAAGCTCTATGATTGAATGTTCGTTATGTCTTGACCTTCTACATAGTCATTAATCTGTGAAGCTGCAAGATGGCTAACAAAAGTTTTACAACTAAAATATCACGATGAGCTTTGCTAAGAAGTTGGTCGATAAGAATACTAGCGTAAGCATTCAACTACATTCGACAGTCCAAATTCGAGAGTATTGTTTTTTAAGATAGTATCTGTCTAACAATTCGTCGTGTGCTGATGATCAACTATCTGATTACTCTTCTCTGCACCCATAGCAAAGTTGTGGAGGTGGTTTGTGCAGACGATCAACTTTATAATTAGTTAAAGATGAATAGGGCGCTGCACTCGAATATTTCTATACTGTTTATTCAGTTTCGCGTTTACTCTGTTGTTGGAAATTTCTCTTTCTCTGCATTGGCTTGGTGGTGAGGTACACCATTGTAGCTGCCATCCCGAGTTCACACAGTCTAAAATTAAGAAAATTAAGTGATATGAAAACTAGAAAATAGAAATCTCTTAATTAGAAATTTTGCACTGTCAATACACTAAATCACTCAACTTAAACAGATTACTGTCATTTGATTAGTGGATTTAACATTATGTTAGATTATGTATTTCACAATTTTAATCCATGTTTACACCTGCGTCATTCGTTGTGTAATTAAGTTCTATTTTGATTATATTTTGTTTCCAATCGTTTTTCCCATTGCAAGTGTTGTAAAAATACTATCATGTTAGCAATCATGCAGATCATTATTATGATAGACCGATTAAATGAGTAATTAAAGAAGCCACAAAATCAGAACAAAAGAATCACTAAAACAGGGTATGTATGTAGAAAGTACAATATAATTAAATATGCCATTAATAGTTTCATTGCAAACATCAAACTTACCGCATAACCGTTTGGAAGGCAAACCAGCCCCACGGCTCGGGGTCCTTGTCATCTGACAGTACGCTAAACACTCCAAACATCGCGTAAGTACTTATCAAACAAATAATGGCTGCAAACGCCGTCGTAATTAACGTAATACGAATCATCTTTTTAGTAACTGAGGTTTGCCTACTTATGGTTAACCTTTTTACAGGCTTAACTCCGTAATTTTGTCTTCGAAGGAAACGATTTTCTTTAATAGAGGTGAGGAAAACTGAAGCGCGATTCGACAGTGTGTTCCTCCTGTAAACTGTTTCATTTTGGTTGATGTTATTAACCGTTTCATTTGAAATTTCTGACGAAACAATATCAATTTTCGAAGAGTTTGATTGTTCACAAATTGCAAGGGTACCACATGCTTCATTTGATTGATACGAATTGGGCGAATCAATTGGTGCTTTATTTTCCTTTTCGTTTGTGGAATCGTAAAGCGCTTTCGCAGTGTTGTGCGTTCCGTTGGCGTCAACGACAGTGTTCGGAGAATACACAGTTTTTACAATAACGTCATTGTCACTATGTGCTTTCATTTCTTCTTCAAGTTTAAAGTCATCGATATTGCTGATATTGCCGTTCAATGCAGCATTTGATTGTATTTTATCCGTTTCTAGGTCTGCTGACTTATCCTGATCAAACTGCATAGGTTGCTGATCATTTAACGCATTACATGGTTCTTCTTTTAAGCAATTGTATTTATCAGCGATGAGGCTAAGTTTACTGACTTGTGTATCGGGATCTGCCATCACCCCGAGGTCCTTGTTACCCGGATCCTGTCTCTTATTTTTCTGTTTGTCGGTCTTTCTAAACTTAAATCTTCCTCTCACTCCATTCCTAGAATCATTCATTTGATACATGGTCGATCTGACATTTTTCTTAATATTGTAAACTCTCCATGCAGAATAAGAGAATCCAATGCACAATATTAGGCCCCACACGATAAATGTGCCCTGACACAGCATAACCAAAATCCAAGTGCCGGAGACAAATGCTAGCACAAAATCTACAGTAAGGACAAACACGAAATGAATGATGATGATAGCAACGAGAAGACGCGCATTCTGTAACTTTGGTGACAACAGTTTGAACTTGCTACTCTCGAGAAATGCCCAATTTACCAATGAGAAACCGGATGTCAAACACGGAAATGCGACGTTGAAAAACATCTGTGAAACTAGCTCACTAAAAATTTCCCTTGAGCGGTACGGGTCGACGATTAAGTACACAGCACGCAGAAAACAAAGTAAAAGCACAAGCACGTTTATGGTAATAAAGAATGACTTAAGTTTTCCCCTGTTGTACTTTAACAGCATAATTGTCGTATAGACACAGTACACCCCGAGTAAGCAAAACGCTACACCGATGCCGTATGTATGTAGTTGCCAGGCCCAGGACCATGTATCCAATGCCGAGTCCCACTCGGGTACTGGCTCTGCGTGCACGTCAGGTTCTGAATTATCGGCCATCTGTAAAAAAGTAAAATAGACGGAAAAATTATTCAGGAATTAAAATAATAAACATAAAGCCAGTAGTACCCTATAGTTGCATGGCACCTAAGGCGTTCACCACTCTAGTTCCCCAGAGCATACCTGTAGTAGTGTTTTAAAGTGACTAACTGTATGTGCATTCTTGAGGTTGTATTTCCTACTACTTCTCCAGGAAATTGCCACTACGACAGTAAAACATGTGTTCCCAAATTATAATGACCATTAATAATTAAATGAGTCATCAATCCATGTTTGCTGTCCCACACAATAAGCAACTGTCAAATTCTCAAACGCCTCCTTTATTGCCCCATGCTACGATACTGTACCTCTTATAGGCCACTAAATAAGTCTAATGCTCACAAATACCAAGCACCCAAACACCAGGACCAGATTAACATAGGGGCTTTTGGGGCGCTAGCCTCATTCCCCCAGGCCAAAATGGGGAAACATAGGCCCCGAACCCCAGGAAAAATCACCGAAAATCTGGTTTTATGTTTTAGCCACAGAGTATTTAGGTCCACTTGCAATTAGGCCTACAGCCCCGGGCCCCACAGCCCTTTAATCCGGCCCTGCCAATCACAGAAATGATCAAAGATCGTTGTGTCTGAGCTACCCGGTAAACTGGTACTACTACCAGCTACTCTCGTCTGTCCACAGCAGGGTCTGAATGAACCAGTACACCGGGGTAACCACCTACTCGTCTCGGAAGATGTGCAGGGTTTTTTTAAGTGCACATGAGCCAAATTATGTACACTGGGTATATATATATATATATTTGAATATAATACAGGAAAAACATAACAACAAAATAACAAAATTATAAAATAACACAATATGAAACATCCTTAATTAAGGTACTTATCAAATCATTACATAAATAAGATTGTAACTACAGGATTCATTTCTAATTGCACTTGCGTTAGATTCTACGTTGCTCACATGAACACAGATCGGTTCGATCTTCGATTGAAAATAATACAAAATTACCAATCATCACGCCATAGTCACTAATTATATCGTTCTACTTGGTAACGACCAATTTATATTATTTATTCAACAACATTTTAAGAATAACTAATAATAAATTGATATAGCTGTGGATAAAGCTGATGAATCTATTGTGTGATTTCTAGGAATTTGTTTTCGACAAAATAATAAATGTTTAGGTATGAACGTAGTAAATACCAGTACAAGTACATACAAAAGGCCGACAGCCACAATGATGATTAAATACAGGAAACCGCAAACATTGACCAACTGTTGATTAGTACCGTATCGATTGCTCAAGTGTTGTGTTAAAGCTATAAACTTGAACAAATTGATATTTGGCGTGCTTATTTTGAATAAATAAAGTAAATTACTTGCATTCTATATTGAAAATTATTATGATAAAATAAAAGCATTAAACTGTCTAAAATTTATCTGAATATTGATTGACAACTTATTTTTATTCTTTTAAATCGTCGTTGAAAACAATTCATGCGTGCATCTGGTCGCGAGCTGTCTCCATGCATTTACGTCGGCCGACCGATGCCGGCCCGGGAGGCGATAATAATTAATAACCAGACGTTCCAGTTGCAAACACTCAACACAAACTTGACACCTTAATTGCTCTTTTTATAGTACTATATGAAATAGGCCTAAAGATTCTAGATTTAGGTTTTACTCTATTGTAAGTGTTCTGTATTTCATTTCTCATTACAAAATAATCAATTTTGTATAAACAGACGTTAACGGCTATCGAATTCAATATTAAATCGTAATGCCATATTGACAAGCCTACGGCGTTTTAATATACCGGTATATTATGTCAAATGATTATTTCGTATTCTGTGTAGGACCATAGCCTATTCCTATTTCCAAAAACATAACTTACGTCGACAATACGAAGATTCAGTCACTGTATGTTTACCAGTTTCCGTTAGAGACTTTGTCATGTTCGGTAATTTTCGTGGTCACGGTGAATTTTTGATGCAGCAATCCGGATATTTTTCATAGTCACAATGGCCCACGCACGGTATCCTAGAAAACCCTACACAAACAGGTCATGTTTGTACCACTGAAGTTCACTAAAATACCTCCACATGGCTAAAGCCATGGGCTCCGGAGGGAAAACATTTTGATATGCTGTGATTTTTCTGAGACAAAAAGCATATCGAGGAAAAACTCGGAAGCGGTCAATAAGATACAAATTTTTGAATATTTAAAACTGGCGGGAAAATGGGCGTAACTACCCTCTTCCAACCCACCCAGTTTTTAAATATTCAAAAATCGGTATCTCATTAACTTCTCCCGAGTTTTTCATTAAATATGTTTTTTTGAGTCTTAGAAAAATCAGTTGCAGGCTACAACATATCAAAACATTTTTCCTCCGGAGCATGTGAAACCCATGGAGCCGTGCGCGCTAGCATGCAATCGAAAGATTGAGGGGTTGGAGTCTAAGGCTCGTCACTTTTATCCGCGTCTTTCTCCATTTAGATACAACACGTAATAACTGCCCAGAGCGAAACCTATGTTTTTAGGCGGTAAGGCAATGGGCCGCTCACTACGCTCTTAACAATGGTGTTGGTTGAAGCATAGAGAAAATAGAACATGTATATAAACAAACATACAGTATGTGTTCTATTTCCTCTATGGTTGAAGTCGCTCCTCGCCCAGGGCTCGGTTGGTAGAACCATGGTAGAACAAAGTCTTTTCGGAGAAGGACTTAAAATAGAGGTACAGTGTACACACATCTGACTCGTGTGCACTTTAAAGAATATTGCCTCTTTCGGAAGTGTAAGGGCTGTCTCTTATACACATCTAGATGTGTATAAGAGACAGCTTATACACATCTCCCCCACACCGCCCAATCCCAAAATAGTTTAAAAAACCACCTAAAATTACGTTATATTGCAAGTCAGTGCCCCTCACATAATCATTAAGCACCCCCTCATGGCCTTTTCACTCCCATCAGCTCGCCCCACCCGCACCCTTCAAGGCTCCTAAATACGCCACTGCTCTCGTTTGAACGTCATTATGGGTTATTCTCCTACCTTTACCTTTACTAGCAGCAAAATACAAAATACTCCGTCAGGATGTTTCTTAAGTGTTTGATCCTATGACCCCCAGTACTCTAGCTAATCGGATAACCGAGGTTATAATTTGAAGGGCACGTAAATACAGTAGTTTTGAATTTGATTTATCTCCGGTCAAACTATTAAAGTGCTTGGCATCATTCTGATCTTTCCAGTGACTGAAAACCTAGACAAGATTTAATATTTTAGTAATATATGTGATGAGCTAACGGTAATATATCTACTTGATCCTTTCTAAATGAGAATTTCTATTGCAATTTTTAAGCTGAAATTTAATTATACACGTGTGTTGTATTTAATAGGCCTACTGTAGGCCTCATTAATAATATAACAGAGACCAACATAATGAAATTACGCACGCTAGCCAACAAGACCATTATAATTTCGTGGCACGACATTTCGAGTTCGAAGTATAGAGTACCACAGTCGTGGTACTCCCAGGTACGAGAGCCCCCGACATTGTAGTTAAAAAAAATAAAATATAAACTATAAAATAATATAGTTTCATTCAATGGGGCCCCCGACAGTTTTGAGCAATAAAAGCTGGGTTCTGATTGACATTAATTGTTTCTGATTTTGTGATCAATCTGCTTTGCATTGTATATACGCTATGAAAACATGTTTTGTTTCTCACTAAATATTCTCTGCACAGTATTTATTTAAACCTACAAAGAGTACATAGGCTTACTGTAGGCCTATACCAGTTCTGAAAGTTGGCCTGTAATCATAAAATTGTCTGAAATATTTCATCAGTCATCACATTCTCTGTTCTCTGTTAACTCAGTTAACAATTCATAAATGACATAAGCTCTGAGCGCGAAAGCCCCCTCGGGGGCAGGTCTTATAGAGCACTTTGATAACTTAAATAAAACAGATGTCTTAGAATGGTAATGGTAATGGTGGGATATTTGTAGTGCGCCTTCCACAATAAAATCGTCTCAAGGCGCCGAAAAAAAAAAGGTAGGACCAAGAATTTAAAAGAAATTAAATTATATTATATCTTATATTAAAGAGCCTATATTAATCAGAATATTTTTTATTTTATTTATTATAAGTTAAATAAATATAAATAAATGAATAAAGTAAATAAATAACAAATAGAAAATATATAATTAAATAAATAAATAATTGATAAATTAAGCCTTCAAAAACAGGCAGACCAAAGAATGGAAAAAACCAAGCAGCAACATGAAAAGTGCGCACTCCTGTTGTTGAGACGGCGTCACCACCACTACCATGCCACTTAGAAGGCATCATATTTCGTAAACTTACTTTTTATTTTATCTTTTTTAGCTTATGACCCATCCCATCATTCCTCCACTGGATTTACTCTTACAAGGTCAATTGCCAGACGGTAGCAAAGAGTCCCCAACCCCACACCCATGGGTACCATGGGTACCAACATGACCGGTACGTGTATGGCAGTGCGGTTGTGATGTGGCCTCACACCCTCAAGGTCAACTTACAGGTGGCCTTGGATAATGCATTTTATACTCATTTTAACCAATGAGGGTCGGTAGGCCTTGGGGAAAACAACCGAACATAAAAAGGTACCTGGGGAAATCGATTAACGGTACCTAATAAGTTCGAATGCACTCTGATTACCAGTGGAGAGAATTTATGTATTTTGGTTATTTTTATTTTAAGCAGAAGATTTTACTGATTTATCGATATACAACTGAATACTGTATAGTGAGTCGTGTTGTATATTAACCTTTTTAACAAAAGGCCTGAATATGAATAACATCCGGCCATAAAGCTAGTCTCTGAGAAGCTATGATTTTAATAATTGCATTAATCGGAAGTACTGTACGACTAGGCATAAAATGCTGAAAAAGACCGAATTCAATGTACTTGCTTTTAAATGTCATAAAATACGCTATAGGCATTGAATTTCACCATTTTGAGTGTTTCTCAGATTTCAATACAGTGTTTATACAAGGAGGTATAAAAATAATACCTCCTTGGTTTATAGGCCTACGCATAATTCCGAGTGATAATACACTTTTTTTTTATAAGAACACATTTTATAAGAACAATGAGGCTGAAATTGCTTAAAAATTAAGAACAAAATAAGAACAAATTGAGGCTGAGGTAAAATGTCAAATGAGATTTTTATTTAAAAAAACCAAAAAAACTTATAGGCCTATCTGTACCTTAAGTGTGCATATTAATATGACCTACTGTCATTTGGAGCCATTTTTACCAGGGCCTTTTTTCTTGGGCCATTTTTTCTTGGCTTTTTATTCAGGGGAAACTTTTTCCAGGGAGACTTATACCTACTTTCCGGTACAGTGTATACTGCTGTACAAGTATACACAGTACAATAATGTTCTTCTATGTTTGAAAAGTGTAAAATAAGAACAAAATAAGAACATTTTGAGCCTGAAATGAGGCAAAAAATAAGAACACTGAGCCTGGGAAAAATTTTACTGGTTCTTACAAAAAGAAAGTGTAGCTATAGAAATGTCAACGGATCTCTCCAGAAAACGACTCTAGGCATAAATTATTGTACTTACCATAACATTTGATTATGTGGAAAAAGGTAAATGATCCAAAGGACCAAGCTAATTAAGCGCTCGCTCTGTGAGAGCCCCTCGCCTGACGCAACTCCTGACTGTCCGTGGTAGCAATGAGCATATAAATCGTTGATCAAAAGAATCGGTTGCACGACGTCTATCAAGAATCGCCCCGGCTGTCAACACCAACACAGCGTGCGCCGGGCTCTTGTATTGTAGCCTAGGAACATTTATGTTTAATAAATTCAGTCATAAAAGCGAAACTGCAAGGAATTCACGCTCAATATAACGGAAATGGAGCTTCTGTCCTTATAACTCTCAACACTATACAACTTCTGTAAAACTATGTGTTGAAAATTAAGCCCAGCCTATTTTGTCCCACTATTGCGTTTGCTTCTCAAGTGTACCTGGCATAGCGATATTTGGCATAGTTATTTTAGCCATAGGGTTTGTTTTTTTACCTCCAAGGTTTCATTTACATCATGTACAACCTTGACAAGACTTTGCCGATATCTATAATGGCAATCAACGAATTCGCCATTAAATCTATTTAGAGTACTTCAATATAAATGTGACATACAGTAGGCGTATGGTAAGTTCTCTTCATTTTATTTGTCACAATAGAGTACATTAAATTTATTAAATTTAATATTACAAATGGAATCTTGTTCCGTTTCTGCTAAGGTGTTCATGAATTAGGCCTATCATTACTCCTGGCCATACAATTTTTTTCTTGTTTATGTGTGTAGAATAAAACCATGAATAATAATAATACATTAGTAATATGAACATTCATGTGTAAGCTCCTGAGCTCCCTATCGATTGTTGTTATTTCCCACTTACACCTCCCACCACCCCCACCCGAATTGTGAAGTCGAGCAGCTGGACTAGAACACCGACAAATTCTTTTCGCTGCCCGGAGGAAAAAGTAATGGAACAACAACTCGCGCAACACACGCTACCGTGACGATCACGAAACGATGGCAAAAAATCATTCAAACATGAGAAAGAGTGATCACTATTGCGTATACTGGCCCTTTTAATAAAAGTGAAATAAAAGACAAATACGTAATCAGAACACCTTGTTTTGATTATATTCGGTGTTAATCCGGTATTACTATTATCATTCCGCATTCTAGCAATTTATCGGCCAAATAAAGACATTTTTGAGTTTCTTCGAAATTCACGCATCGGCCGTAGATACAGTAGGTGGGTCAGCAAAAAAATAACTTGTGAACTCATGAAACTGCACTTCATCACACCATTCGTGTGATACTGAAAACAAAACCCATCGCCATAGTCCTATAAATTAAAAAAAGCAAGCCAGGGTCGCGAAGGTTTTATTTGCTTTCATATTGACAAAATACAGAAAGTATCCTGCGAAGAATCAGGGCCGTGTGTGTGTG